GAGCGAGTATAAGTGTCCAATTGGCAAAATGCTAAGTTTGGGGACCGGGATGACAAAGTGACACAAATATAAGTGTCATTTAGGCTATTCTGCCTTTTTATATCTTATTCATTTTCTCCAAAGAAGGGGAGCCTTGGCGTAACTGGTATAGTTGCTGTCATATGACCAAGAGGTCACAGGTTCGAGCCATGGAAACAGCCTCTTGCAGAAATGCAGGGTAAGGCTGCGTGCAATAGACCCTTGTGGTCCGGCCCTTCCCCGGACCCCCCGCATAGCGGGAGCTTAATGCACCGGGCTGCCCTTCATTCATTTTCTCCAAAGTTACACTTGTCAAAAGAAGAAAGTTTGGACCATTTCATTCCTTCAGTTTCTTTGTCTTAGTTGTATTTAGTGCAGATTAACTTATGATCTAAATGGCATAACTTATGTATAGAAATATGATATCAGTAAACCAGGGTAAGTGAAAGGGAGAGAAAAAAAGACCTTAACTGCATTTTATGTTAACTTTCTGCAGCATATCCGAAGGAAAAGGCCATAAAATGAGACAAGGAAAGCATGTTGCTGAATGACAATGCAGTCCTCTGTCCATTTTGCCTTTTCTTGTTTAGATTGGGAGTAGTTTAGTCCTTCGTTAAGCACTTAACTTGCTTAAAAGATAATAGTTTAAAGAGCTTTGACAGATGATCATGCAAAAGATGAAGTTTTCTTTTCTGAAGTTATCTTAGAGCTCGATCTCAACTTTGAATGTAGGTAAGATCTTTGAAACTTGATGTTAAAGTGTGGGAGCCTTCAGTCATAACGCTGTTTGAGGCACTGGGTAATGTGTTCGTGAATTCTATTTGGGAAGAACTGTTGCATGCAAGAAAAACGTTTCAGGCTGATGAAATACCAATGCGGTAAGATTTGAAATTGAGCATAATTAAATGGTTTTTGACATAGTTCATAATTGAGAAGTCCACTATTTTATGCTGTAGGTTTTTTGAGTCTGAAAAACACAAACAGTTCTTTGGCAAACCCAGTTATGCGGATCATATTTCAGTAAAGGAGAAATTCATTCATGCAAAGGTACTTCTCCAAATAGTTAAGCTATTTTCTTTGCCACCTCTTCAATCTCTTCAAGGGGCTGGCTCGTCTTGTAGTTCTCATTCGCTATTAAAGTTGACAGCATCACCAGCTTCCAAATGGTTAAACCCTTATGTGTCCAGGTTGGTGGACATCGTAAGTTATGCCTAAGAGTGACCTTATAGCTAGTCTAGTTTCCTTTCTCTGGTATTATCTCCCAGCTCAAAGCTCATAGAATAGCTCGTGAAGGCCTTCTGCTATATGGCAGCCACACCAGATCGGTGGTCTAGGACATTGCACATTCTTCTATGTAATATGGATGTCAAATATATTCTCTCAGATATGTTCTCCTAATTTCTTACATTTTTTTCAAGAACTTTTGGACACTCTTCAATTGGACACCAAAAGAAACCAAATGCGTATACAACTATTCCAAAATGCAATAGTTTTGGTATTATTTCAAGCACAAAACATAACTTATGTGATACCACTAAAGTTACTAAAACTACGCTTGCACTTTATGTTAGAACATGACATCATCCTGAAGACTAAAGAAGAAGAAAAATCGTCCTAGGCAATATATATATATATATATATATATATATTGAAAACTCTTTTATTCCAGGTTAAATTGAGACTCTTCTTTCTTTTGTAATCTTGGCATTTTTCGTCATTTAATTTTTTTGGGAGCATCTAAGGATCTTAGTTATTTAAAGATTTGGTGATCATGCATGTTATGACTATGAAATTGATGAAGTTAACTACAACTATCAACATCGTTTAATGGTATATAATATACCGTGTACAAAATTATAAATAAAGTTGAAATGTTTGTTTGAATGAGGTTGTATCCCTCTATGTTTCAAAATGTTTTGTTGTACGACTCTGTTTCGTACCCGACACTGGAATACATGTCTGTAATACAGACATTATGTATATGTGAGTGATCTCGTACACTTTAATGCCTTGCCCATCTCAAGCTCTCAGCACAGTTTATAGAGGCCTTCTATGCCATTTTTGTGTGAATATATATTAGTATTGGTGCTTCCAGTATGTGCGACTAGTCTGCATGTGGTTACTGAAATAACTCTTTGTAAATAATTCACATCTCTATAGCTTGTCTGGTTAAATGCGGTTTAATGTATGCATCCTATGTCTGATTCTGATTGCAGTATGCAGAAAAACGTTTCATTCACAAGGTGAGGGACACTACACACCTCCTTTCAGTTGCAGAACAGTTGTGGGAAGGTGTCCGTGCAAATGACAAGAAAGCTGTATATCGTCTCATTGTTGTCTACCAAGCCGATGTTAATGCAGTCCATGGGGAAGCATCACCTGGTACGTCTCAAAATCTAGAGACTTTCTCAGATTCAACAAACCCTAATTATAACATCTTTTTTTAGGCAGTGATTGTTCAAGCTCATTTAACCCACAAAGTGAAAGTGAAGAGCATTGCATTGACGAATTTCTTGACGGCTGTTCCTTACTTCACCTAGCTTGCCAAACTGCTGATATTGGCATGGTGGAGCTGCTTCTGCAGCATGGTGCCAACATAAATGCTTGTGATTCACGAGGTCAGACCCCACTGCATCATAGTGTTATGAGAGGAAGAACAGCAATTGCTAAACTGTTACTTGCGAGGTAATTCTTTGTTTTTAAGCTCATTGCTTGTCCTTTTTTCTCTTCCCTGCATGAAGTATGCTTGTTTCTCTATACAAACCAATGTCTGGACATTCACAAAAGTTTCTATGGAGGTAGAGGTGATATCATGTGCCAGAACATTCTATAAATTTGTATCTGTTGAAGTCATTGGGAGTCCACAGCTATTATGCTGTCACTCAGAATATTTATATCTCGCATATGCCAAGGGAATGCTTTATTGGGTAACTCCACCTATCTCATGGGTGGTCCATGGTCGGACTTCTGATCCCAACTTAAGTTTAGTTCATGAAGCTGCCTCTGTGAGAATTAGTTTCAACTGAGAACCGTAACCTTCCACTTGATACATCATGTGAAGTATCTCAATGCCAAATTTTGTGCTTTTTTATTCAATATGTGTTTGCTTCTTTTAGCTTTTAGTGGTTTAAACATCACTCTGAAATGGGGTAACTTGGTAAATGACATTCAAATATTCATGTCTTAGTTTCTTGATGGATATGATTAAACGCTTAGGCAGAACTTATATGAGGTCGGCTCGACTTATTTGGGTAACATACTAAATAGCACAATCTTTGGGTAGTTCCAAGTTGGGGAAAGATCGAAATTTATATTCTTCATCTTTCCTACCAAGGATACTCTTAGACTCGTGATATATATGCTCTCTCTTCTCTTTCTTATTCTTTTTACCTCTATTTTTTTTGTCGCTCTACTTTAATTCTCCCCTTTCTCATTTCTTCCCCTTCTCTTTCTTCCGCCTCTTTTTGGTACTACATTAGACTTGCACGTCCAACTTTTTGGTGAATGATACTTGGCTCAAATATGAGAGGATATTTACATGTTTTTGGATCAAATGAACTTAGTTCTGATTATGTTTGAACCATCAGACTAATGATCAAGTCATCCTGTCCTGTGGAATCCACTACATCTGTATCATTTATATTTCAAGATCAATCTTGTTTGAGCAATAGGATTTCTTTTGAACAGGGGGGCCAAACCACATGTTGCTGATCTTGAAGGCAAGACCCCGTCTAACCTTGTCTCAGAATTAGCCATCAATGACGTTGAGATTCTTGCCCACCTGAAAGTTGCAAATAGATAGCAGCAGCACAAAGGTTTCTCAAAGATAGAGTTTCCACGCCCCACATACCGATGCTTTGTCTTCAATGCAACGAAGCTTTTAAGTTATCCCGGAAAACAGCTTGCTCAGTCCAGGTCTTTATTCTGCCAAAGGAGATTTTATTTTGTGCAGACCTCAGAGAATGAAAGAGGGTATTTATCTCTTTGGGTTGGCGAAGTGGAGCCAAAAGATAATATAACACAGTGGGCTAAGTTACAACGAATAGTTGGTTTGCTGCTTCATGCATGTCTTTCTTCCAAAGACTTTAATTTCAGAATGAAATATGAATTTGCAGAGCTCATTCTTCAAGCTGCTGTTGTTCATTGTTCCTTTAGTTTCTTCTCCTTGATTCTTTACACAGCTTCCAAAATTAGGAAGTAGAGTCATTGTACATAGTACATTATACTAAATTAGATTGAGATGCTGTATTTACCAATTGCCATCTAATTACGTGAACTTTGTTAGAACTAGTAGAAGCTGCTTCATTAAGGAGCTGAAGAAACTAAAGAGGTGAATTGCTTTCTGGTTCTTAAGAGCAGAAGTGTCAAAGTTTAGCCTTGGCATATTACTGGTGGCATTCACATGTTGATCAATTATTAATATTTGTTCTCGTACATAGTGTAAATTTTTTATTTATTTTTTCTTATTCCTTTTTATCTTTTATATTCCTTGTGTTTTTTCCCCATTCTTGTTGAGGTCAATTATTTCAGTGGCTTCGTTTAAAGGAGAAAATTAGAAAAAGAAGTCAGTGACTCAGCGCAGTTTATAAATTTTGGTTATTGATTTACTTGTTTGATATGCTAAAATTTAGGATATAGAGAAGCAACAGTTTCTTATGCTTTTGCACCGAAAGTGACTGGAAAAAATTAACATTCAGCGTCACAATCAGACTTTTTTTTATAAGGTAAAAATCAATCAGACTTCAGTAGCTTACTTATAGAACTTGATATTGATCTTAATGGTCTGTGATTAGCAAATAAGAATAGTACACCCAGCAACAAAATTATCGGTAACTTTTTGCTATGAGTAACTAGCATCTTGAACGTTCAGTTAAAGAGTACAATAGAGGGCGTGTATAACGAATGATGCAGCTATGGCCAAAGAACATCAACTAATTAGTTATGAATCATCAGCGATTTGCAAAGGCTCAACTGGGCAAAAGTTCATCAAAATAATTGTGTCCAAAAAATTATTAAAGCCTTATAAAACATTTAATAATCAGATAGGGAGTGAAGGATCTGCAGCTGAAAGAGATTAATCCTAGGTTCAAATTTACACTACCCTGGATCCTTCTCCAATAAGCTATATAAGGCAGAAAAGGAAATTATGAGCTAGCAAGCATTCTTTTTTATATAAATAGCCTTTATTGTGGTAATCAGTGAGCATATTACTTCAGTTACTCCAATGTGCATACCACGCTTGCTTTCCCTAAATAGTACCAGGAGAAAGCACACAGATAGGAGACGACATAAGCAGAGCGACCATCGAACAGAAGAATAATGAAGCAAGTTCCTTTGCTCTCTTGTGATATAGCAACTTCACTTATCGTCACACATAAACCTGCTGTGGTACAAATCGTTTGCTACTTTAATTGGAAACAGCCTATATCAGATTAACATGAGCATAAGGCAGATCAAACAAGTGATGAACCTTCTCTGAGTTCCACCGTTTGCAGGCAAATAACTTATGCTGAAACTTCATCATTTGTTAGTACACCTGATTTTAGACACCTCAAAAGAAATAGTAGTCTCACCTCTCTAACCACAATCTGGTTGCCCAGTAAGAACAACAATGTGAACCCGCTAACTCTGCCAACAAAAAGGTAATAGAAAGAAAGAAATTAAGATGCCGTGAATAAGGCCGTCAACTTCAAAGAGAAATCATTCATCGAGCTAGTATTATCCTTAAATAACCTCAAGTCTTTGAATATCAATGTTCTTATAACTCATGTGTTTGGCAAGCAGAGTCAGATGAGAAAATGCTGAGACATCAAAAGACACGGCACATGTCAAAGCAGACGAGCCACCTTCTTTTTTTTTTTTAACAAAAAATAAGCAAGAATTTTATCAACATTCAAAACCCGCATTAAGAAATACTGGGTTACATACAGAGATTTTGTACATATAAATACAATCACTGTCCTATTCTGGTAGTGAACTTAGAAAATGCAGAAGCGAGTGTACATAGCAGATGATTTATCTTCATTCTAATGCGACAAATATACGAAGGAACATTTCTTGCGTAGAGTTAATATCGAAGAGCATGAAGACGGTTCCACCGGCAGATTATTGTGATCCTATATCATGAAGCAAATGGAACATAGATGATAGTATCTGTTCAATTCCAAGAGCATCTATGGTTTTCAGATTATTTCAAGTCATGTTCATTTCTTCAGTTTTACCTAAAAGGACTGTAACGACATATCAATCACATAGGTCCTGTTAACATAAACTTGGAAGGTGGATGAAGTAGGACAGACAAAATTGACTAAATTTTCAAAAATGAAAAAGCAAAAAATATCTGCTAGTAGAAAACTAGTACTGGTAAATAACTCTGACCATTGTCCTGAGTAGGCTAATTGCTCCACCATTGGAAGGTCAGTGTCTAGAAGAAGGAGCTCAGGCAACATATACCATAAAATAATGGAGCAGCAGCGGACCAAATCACCTGAAAATAATACTTAATCAGCAAAATGACATCAATTCCCCAATTAGAATAAGATTTATTAAACACACATGAAACTGAATTCACAAGACAGGTTTTTATCTTAATTAGGTGCATTACGACTAAGCCTTGATTTTTTTTCTCACTTAAAAATTAAACAGGAGATACCGAAGGGAAGCAGAAGAAAATTCACTTCACTAAGCTTAGAAATTTGTGATTGTGAAGGAACCTTTCTTGTGTATGTTCTACTTTTTCATTCTAATTTGTTGAGATCTTGATTCAATAAGAAGGGATCTCAATCCAATTAGTTGTATCCTAGTATTAAGGACACATCTCACTGAAATATCAACACTTCTTAGTAAGCTAGTTTCAAGGGAAAATTTTATTTTGTGTCTCATACAACTGACACTAGTTGTATGAGGCAACCTTTTTGTCTCACAGTTTTGTGGACCCAGATTTCTGTGGACCCAGAAGTGTAAGATTGGGGTCCACAAATTTGTGAGACAAAAAGGAGCCTCATATAACTAGTGTCAGTTGTATCAGACACAAAATAAAACTTCTCAGTTTCAAGCAATGTATTCCATAACTTATATGAGATCAGAGGAAAAAGGTCATAATCCAAAAAACAGAAAAGACAGACTATATATGCAAACACAAAATAACATAAATTATTTTCCAGCAACAGGAGAATGAGCTATTGCTTGCAAACAGAACAAAAATACATTCATGCAGTGTCTGACCTCCATGCAAAACTTATAGGAAGACCCAAAGAGAAAGCACTAAACCACATTAACAAAACAAAGGTCTGATTTCACACGTCCAGTTTCAACTTCATGCATGATTTTTGCAGCACATTCAATTTCAACTTCATGCATTCATTGGGGGGGAATTAAGTACAAAAACTGAACAGGATTCACGATATATATAAAGGAAGTTCTTTTCCTGAAAGTAGATTCATTTAGTTAATCAAAGTCAGATTACCTCTACTGTGATCAGGATGCTTTCAACTTTGATGTAGGTGCTTCGCCATCGGCATCCGTAGTCAGGAACAGCAGAAAGAACAGAACAATCCAGCATAAAGTACTCTTGTTGAGCTAGGCTTGAAGAGCAACTTCAAAGGCTGATTGCTTTGGAGGGTTGCTAACACTTTCAGTATGCCCATCCATTTGACAACGCGTGATTAAGTCAGTTGAAGTCATGGAATTAGAGATCCAGGAAAACTTTACCATGGTCTCCAGAGCCATTGGTAATTTTTCAGAATATCCTGCTTTATCTAATCCTTGGGCTAAAGTACTGCACATAGCAATACCAGGTACAAAACCTTGCTCTCCTATTTCATTAAGTGATGCCAATAGTGCAGAAATTTCTCCCTTCTCACACCAGGACTGCACTAATGTTTCACTTACATGTCCTTTCAGAAGACCTTTATCCAAAAGTTCATTCCAAAGACTGAAAGCTTTATGTAGATTCCCTTCTCTGTAAAGTGCATCAACCATCGAGCTGTAGACTACTTCATCAGGCTCAATACCCCTAGCCACCATCTCCTCAAATAGTGAAAACACTTTCAATTTGTCTCCTAATCTGTGATAACCTTGTATGAGTGAAGTGTAAGTCACAATGGTTGGTATCAGTTTCCTCTCTTGCATCTGTTGGAACAGATCCTCTGCTTCTTTCATAATTCCATTCTTGCAACAATAATCTATTAAAATGGTAAAAGTTACATGATCAGGTGGGTGCCTATCAGACATACCCTTCACCAACTCCAGTGCTTCACTCATTCTTCCTAACTTGCATAACCCATCGATTAATGTGTTGAAAGTAAGAGTAGATGCAATTCTCTTTTCTACCATTTCATGGAATAATGACAATGCCTTCTCTGTCTCTCCTGCCCTGCAGCATCCATGAAGAAGAGCATTGTATACAAAGGCATCCGGTTGAACACCCTGTGAAGGCATTTCATCCGATAAGCGAAATGCCTCAATTAGATCACCAGCTTTGGAGTAACCATCAATGATTGTGGAATAAGTCACAGCATTTGGTGCCAAACCCTTTCCAGAGATACCATCAAACACTTCCCTAGCTCTCGAAAGGTCACCTGACTTACAAAGACCGCCTATTAAGGCATTATAAGTGACGATGCTTGGCCTAACACCCTTCTGACACATTTCATCAAGTAGTAGAAAAGCCTCTTCCGAATTACCCTGCTTGCAGAAACCAGAAATGAGTGATGTGTAAGTGAACACATCAGGAACTAGACCCTTGTTATAAAGCTCAGATAAAACATTCCTGGCATCTGGCAATTTTCCGTTCTTTGCGAGAGCATTGATAAGAATACCATAAAGCTGAACATTTGGCAGTCGTCCTATTTCAAGCATGCGATTCAGTACTGAAAATGCTTGCGCTATATTCCCATATTTGCAATACCCATCAATAATAGACGTAAAAGTGGCATAATTAGGCGCTACACCACGATCTAGCATCTCCCAGAAGTACTGCTCTGCAACTTGCATATTCCCTGCCTCTCTACACCAAGAAATAAAAGCCCCAAAAGTATATGAATTCGGCCTCAATTTTCTCCTCTCCATTTCAACAAGACACATTTTCGCTTCATCTATCTTTCCCACCTTGCAGAGCCCAGTAATAATTGTATTATAACATAAAATATCAGGCAAGATACCTTTCTGCCACATATCCTGCACAATTTCTTTTGCTTCGTCAAACTTACCATCCTCTACATACCCTTTTATGATGGGGGTGTAGATGACAGCATTTGGTCTCACTCCAGCTGCAATCATCTTCTCCAAAACAAGAATCGCTTGACAGAGATCTCCAGAGTTGCATAGAGCATTAATCAGCACGCCACAAGTATAGGCGGAAGGTACCAAATTTCTGTCAGTCATCTCAACCAAAATCACTTTTGCCTCCCTGGGCCTCTTTTTCTTACAGAATCCATCAATAAGTGTGCTGTAGGTATAGATATCAGGAACCAATCCCTTTGCTTCCATTGACTCCTTTAGCTCCAACGCTTCGTCAACTGTACCAGTCCCGCACAAGCCTCTGATAACCACATTGTACGTAACCAAATTTGGACTGCACCCCTTCTCTTCCATAACACGAAGAAGTCTTTTGGCGTCCTTAACATTGCCAACCTTGCAATAAGCATTGATCACATTGGTGTAGGTGTAAACGTCAAGACTCATCTCGCCCTCCAGCATTCCCTCATATACCTTCCAAAACAATTCCATTTTATTGCCCTTCAATAGTTCATTCAACAATGTATTACAACACAACACGCTGGGAGAAAAGCCCTCATTTTTAAAACCCAAAAACGCAGAAACAGCCTCATTTAGCATACGCTTATTCCTATAAGCGTCAATTAGCAACTCAAACGCCACGGGTTTCGAGCTAAAGCTATCACATTCCTTAAAACATTTAACCAACGAGCTGAGAATATCCGTCACTGCATATCCTCTCTGAAGCATTTCATCAAACACACGGTTGGCGGGTGTAAAATTGTTTGAATTGCACAAAGCCAGAGCAAGAATAGAGAAAGAATCAATGTGTTGAGTCACACCCAGATTGTGATTTGACCAGTCGAAGAAGTCAAGCAGGCGTTTTGGGTTAACAACCAATTTGTTTCGATCAAGCACGGAGTGGACCACATCTGGACTGAGCTTTTGAGGGATTTCCGATGACTCCAAGAGGAAATTCCAGTTTTTGTGTTTCAGAAGCGCCGAGATTTCTTCAGCAGTAGATTTCTTTTCTCCAGGAATGTTTGCAAAGCGCCTTGCTTCAATACAAAATGAAACATGCCTTGCTTTCTTGATTACAATGGCTTGCTTTGAGAGTAGTAGATTCATAATTTCAAATGTGAATAATTAACTTGTGGCGGCGTTGCACCTAAAATGCTAGAGGATTTGAATTAAAGCTCCAATCTAATTTTTCAAAGGGGCGGAATAAAGGTTAAAGGATGCTTGCAGTGGAGACTCGTGGGAGGAGCAATGGGTGCTTTTTTTGGCTGCTCTAGTTCTATCTTGGACTGGCAAAAGTGGAAAAGATGAACGTCAACCCTTTAATAAGTTAACAATTTGAACAAACCAATTTAAATCAATTTCTAAGAAAATAATGTTTCTCTTTGATATAAATTTAATTATATGGTTTCATCCATATTTTTAAGAAAATTCTTATTTTGTTTAATTATTCTTGTTGATTTGGAAAGGATGTTAAAGCGAATAAGGAATTGATAGAAAAATTGATGTGAGAAAGGAGGTAGAGCTTATAAGTTGCTCAATATCCTCGTCTCTTTTAGGAGTTAATTACTCAAATGGTCGTCCCAAATTATCCAATAAAGTCACTTTTCTTTCGTTTGTAACAACAAAGTCACTGAACTATGTCTATTGCTCTCAGAAGGTCACTAAACTAGATTTTTCAAATTTTGAATTGCTAAATACCTATTTTACCCTCTAAATTATAAACATTTATCTTCTTCTTCTTTTTTTTCAACTTTTTAATATTAACAAAAAAAATTCAAAAGTTTATTACTACAATTTCAGAAATGAAAAGAAAATAAAGGTAGTAAATAATATATTCCATGCACGTAATATAAATAATTATTTAAATAAAGGTATTTTTATAATATACATTATATATTCTTGAAAGTTATGCTCAGTTATATGATTATGTTTCTACCAACTTTCCGATGACACAAAGTGATGTCACCGCAAAGCAGGGGGACTATCTGTATAGGGTAAAATATGCTATGTTAAGTCGTGCATGGAATATATAAATATAATTGAGTATAATTTTTAAGAATATATAATGTATATTATAAAAATACTTTTATTTAAATAATTATTTTTATATTACGTACATGGAATATATTTTTTACAACCTTTATTTTCTTACATTCTGAATTGTGTAAATAAATTTTTGAATTTTTGTTGTTAATACTAAAATTATTATTACTAACAAATTCTAATTAATTTATTCACTATGCTCATTATTTTGTTATTCCAGCGTTATATATGCTTAAATACTTTTTATTTTTTTTAATTTATAAATAATATTTATTTATTCTATAGGTAAGTCCATAATGTAAATTAAAAAGGAAAAAATCATAATTTAAAAAGTTTAAGAAAAATAAAAAGAAGATAAATGTTTATAATTTAGAGGGTAAAATAGCTATTTGGAAATCCAAAATTTGGAAAATCTAGTTGAGTGACCTTCTGAGTGCAATACGCGTAGTTAAGTGACTTTGTTGTTTCAAACGAAAGAAAAGTGACTTTAAGAGATAATTTGGGATAGTTGAATGACTATTTGAGTAATGTACTCTCTCTTAGATATGAGACGTGTGAACAAGCTTTTATTATACATGCATACAATAATATACAAGTTTTGAATTGTGAGAAATGAAAAAGGGGTAACATTACGGACCACTAAACTTAAATAGGAAATATTTCAGTTTAAGTTAATGTTTTCTTCATAGTTCGGTATTTTTGGTTCCTATACGTACAGTTTAACCAATGATTTAAAAATGTCTTAGAATTAATGCAGACCTAGTTTTTGATACCTGTTTGCATTTTTGAAAATAAGGGTCGATCCATTTTTTCAACGCAAAAAAAAAAGAAAATTATATGGTATAACCACTCTAAAAATTAGTAGCCAGTAAATATATATTTTTCGTATATTAATGTGTAATATACATATTTTTTTATATATTTAATTAGCGAATGTAATTATATATGCGGGATTGGCCAAATGTATAACTTGCCTAAAAAAATTGGCTTTTCACTTTTAACCCGCGCCATAAACTATTTATATTCGGTAGCCGGAAAGTGTATAAAATTTGTATAATCTTTTTGTATAACATACATAATTTATATATATACAAAAAAAAAAAAATATATATATATATATATATATATATATATATATATATATATATATATATATTAACTATTATTTTGAGAGTCGTTATACGGTGTCATTTTCCCTAAAAATAAAAAGGGGGTTTAGCATTGTATGACAACTTAATCTAATAAATGGCATAAAAAAGCCCAACTTATTGTTATTGGCATCTTATGGCCCACATTTATGTTTTAATTTAATAAACTAATTTTGTATAATAAACTAGGTTAGACCTTCTCCCCGTATGTCACACACACACACACACTCTCTCTCTCTCTTCTCCATATCTCCTTATTCTCTTTATTCACACCAGAAAATTTTAGAGCATTTGGCATAAATAAATGTCTAAAAGAATGAATCAATAATGAAACTGAATTTCGTTGCCCGTTTTCGAAGTTGTCACAAGTTTTTTTTCATTCTCACTTAACATTAATGGACGAAATCAAGCAAACTTTCTACAAATTTGCACAAAAATTTTGTCCAGAAAAGAAATATTCTATTTTGAATCGGGAATGAATTTGGGTGACTATACACATTCCAAGTTTTTAGAACTTTCGAATTTGGGTGAATACACATCTCAGTGTATATCAACTAATATATCAATATATATCACCATGTATATCTGTTTATTCCATGTATATCATGCATATTTATATACATATCAATGAATATTGTATGATATACACCGACATGCCTGTGATATACATGTCTATGTATATCAATAGAAATCTTGTGTGATATACACACTGATATACAACCAAAATACGTATTGGTGATTATATGCGAAATGTATATCACAATTTTATCTTCTCTCTTTGCGTATATCAAAACGAATATTAAAATTTTATTTTCCTTCTTTGTATATCCAAACTATGAATTTATAAATATGGTTATTCAAAATTTATTCTTATCTCTATACCAATATATATGTTACAAAATTTATTTTCCTTCTTTGTGTGTATCAAAAAATTATTTTCCATCTTTGTATATCAAAAATTTATTTACTCCCACAATTACATTTATTATTTTTATGTCTTAGAACTAGCTCTAAACTTATATACATTGCTATAGTGGACATTAAATAAAAAAAAAAAGGATATAAAGAAATTTTGGAAAGTTTTAGATACTTTTGAAAGGAAATAAAAGATAATTTTTAGGAAGATAGCTACAACCAATTAGAGGAGATAAGAGAAAGATCCTTTAATAAAGAAAACTAAAGAGAATAAGGCACCATTTATGGAAGAAGATATGGAACGNCATACTTATGCTGGAACTCCCGTAAAATTTGCGGGCGTATTTTTCCGGATTTTGAACAGTGTTTTTCGCTCAAATTTAAAGTGGCTAAATTTCGATGACTTTTGAAACTTAACTATTTTTCAACGACTACCTCTGGCTAAGGGAAGAGCAGCCCCATCCGCTCCACCACATCCTTTGGTGGTGATTATAATGATGTTTACATCAAACCACATCAAATTATGGTTAAATAATTTAATAAAGTCATAATGCATATTAATAAATCATAGTTAAATGAAAGAAGTCAACTGCAAACACAGGGCGGACCAATGCTTTGAGAAGAAAGGTCATCGACCTCGTTAATTTCGATAAATTTTTTAAATATATAAGTGTATATATATTGAAAATGGTTATAAATTTTACCTGGAACTCTTAAGATNCTTTTCCTATTTTCTTTGGAAACTAATATTTTCCATAACAGATTTTATATTTCCCATATATGAATCTTTTTACTAGCAAAAGGAGTACTAGTACCTTTTTATACAACATAAACTCTAGCAAAAGTATACATCTTTATATTTTGAAAAAATAAAATACATATGTTTCATGAAAATATAATGTATATTTGAGGTATATATACATTATAAACAATGTAATTTTATATCACTATTATACCGGGGAGTACTTCCGTATTAAAAAAATCAAAGGTATATTATTACATTAGTATATCTCGAAATATCATTATACTAGTTATATGTAATATTATCTCTTAATACCATTATAATACATAGTATTTGTCTAAAGAAAATATTATACGAGACATATATAATATTATAACTCAATAAAATTATACCATGTATATTAATATATTAGTATACAGCAAAAACTGCTATATACACCTAATATTCAGTGAATTATTTTCTTCTACTACTTCTTATCGATTTCAGAGGTTGTAGCGATGGAATCAACAATCTTAATGAGTTTAACCTTATTCTTTACCACGAAATTTTCAGTTTACTATAAGAAGGGAAGAAGAAAGAGTTTTTGGTAAGATTTTGCCTTACCTGATGAGAGAAAGAACGAAAAGAGTGTGATTTTGGGTTTGTAATAGTGGAGAGATTAGTGGAGAAATAATCACTATAATTTTGGAAATTTGCTGGAATATAGAAGACTTTTAATCTCTAATACATCATCCCTTGAATCATGGGTCAGTTTTAATACATAAAGACTGATGGTAACGTATTAATTTTGAGATATGCTATATATGTAAATGAATGTGCTATACTGCTATATATGAAATAAAACAAAAGTAATATTGTTTATATAAATATTTTCTTACTAATGGCTCTACAACGTAAAAATCTCTAAAAAAAAGTTCCCAAAGAGGCCTATAACTCAAAGCAGGCTGGCCTATCATAACAGGCTTGGACTAAAGTCAGATTGTGAATATGGACTCTTATTGTGAAAAGCCTTAAAATAATACGGGCTCTTACTGTAAAAGGCCTTAGAATAATACGGGCTCTTATTGTAAGAAGCCTTAGAAAAGGGGCTACTATTCAAACATTTCAGACCTATAAGAAAGAGAATATCTGTTTTGTAAAACATATCCAACAAAATATAAAAGTAGAAATCATGGCTACTTAGAATTGGGATTTATGAGATAAGCTAATGCTCTAATGCATATCTAATGCGAATTGGTATTACAATTACTTTTTCTATTTAAATTCTACCTCATCTCTTTTTTGTGTGTTAGGTGAATGGGGTTGGTAAGAGCGAATTTTGTAGTGGTGGATGTCAATTCTTCAAACTATTTATGCATAGTTGAGATTTTTCTACTATATATATATATATATTTATACTAAGTTCACATTTGTTATCACCAATAAGTTCGCATTCATTATCATTAGTAATTTGTAACAATAACAATAA